ATCTGCTCGCCGCACTCGGACGCGCCCTTACTGGTGACACCACTTTTGTCCTCCACGGTCTCGCCCGCGGCCGCGCGGTGGGAAGTCCAGTCCCGGTCGGCGCGCTCGCCCTCCTGGCTGAGCGGGAGGGCCGTCGCCGCTGCTCCGATGTCGAGCCTCATCGCGATGCTCTTCCTGCAGCGCTTGTTGTCGGGTTGCACCTCCACGCTGTTCAACTCCGCGATCCTCGCGAACGCGTCGAAGCTCAAGCTGGCGCTCTGGCCCGCCTGCGACGCTGGCGCTGGTAGCTGCGTGCTGGTCGTGCTGCCCGTCTCCTCGGAGTTGTTCAGATAGTCTGTGCGAACTCCTTCTCCATGCCGTTGATTGTGGCCGCCCCTGCCCTTTTCGGCGCGGTCTTTGCCCTTCGGCTTGCGCTTCGCCTGCTTCGGGTTCCAGCGCTCTGAAGCTCGATGTCCTTTTTCGTCCGCAGTTCCACCGGGATGCGTTCGGGTCGTTCGCCGCCTTTCCTTTGGGCCCAGATCCCATTCCTTTGTGATCCCTGCCCTTTCCTTTGCCGCCCTTGCCCTTCGGGTGGCCTTTGACGAACGCGCCCATCTCCACTGGATAGCCTCGAGCTCGACCAAGCGCCCCCCATGCCCGCCGGGTCTCCAAGAAGCCGCGCGCCTCCTTCCTCGTCGACGCGCAGTCGTTTAGCCCGGCGCGGTTGAGGGCTAGATGCAACTCGACGTCCCGCGGAAGCAAACTCTCCAACGCGCTCATCTTGATCTCGTCGTCCAGCCGAACGTCTCGATCATCTGCTCGCCGCCTCTCGCGGCGCCCGATGAACTCCTCCCACGCCGCGATCTCACCGGCCAGATTCACAAGCTTCTCCGCTCGATTGAGCGCCATGATCTTCTCGCGTAGCACCCTGCGGCGCCCGCCGCTTGTCGGGCCCCGCCGACGAACCAGGAGTCGCAGGGCCAATGAACCGCAGCCTTGGCCAGCGCTCATTACGAGATCGAAAGACTCGCCCTCCATGGGCGACGTGAACAACGCATAGAGCTGGGAGAGCTTCTCGTCCACCGATTCGATCTTTTCGTCATCGACCGCCTCGTCTGCGAACTGCGCCACCGCGGCTGTCGTCGCGAGCGCTATCGAGCCGTTCGCCTGGTCGACCGCCACTCGATCATCACCTCGAAGCTGACCCCGGAGATGCTAAGCACGTGGCCGTTGAGCTTCTGCAACCACTCGCTGAAGCGCGCCTTCTCATTCTTGAAATCTGGCGGCTTCCCGATGTCCTTCGCCTAGGTCAGCTGTGGTACTCGCTGTTGAGCTTGCTCTGGTACGTCTAGCCGCTCGACCACCTCGCCGAGCCGCCTGATGATCTCAGGGCATCCTGCCAGCTGAGCCTGCTGCGCCTGCTGTCGTGGTTCTGCGCTTTGCCGCTGCAGCTCTCCGATGGCCGCCTGCGCCTGCCGCGCTGCCTTCTGCACCTCGTTGAACGTGTCCTGTTCCAACGCCATCTCTCAGCGCCAGCTTCTCGTCTCGCCGCTGGCTTTTTTTTCACGCAATTGAGGTGCGCCCCGAGCTCGCTCCAGTAGCCTCTCAGCTTACTGAAGCGCGCCATCTTCTCGACCAGCGCCTGCCGCGCGCTGCGCTGCCTGCCGACGAGCTCGAAGCCCTCGGCGTACGTCGTAGTTTCTCCTGCCCCGCCGCGTGGCGGGATATCGCGCGCGCCTGCGCCGAACCTGCGGGCGTGCGGGACGGGGCGCTGGAGCGAGTCCAGCTCCGCTACCAGCTCCAACTGTTTTGGTCAACGATGGACTACGGGCGGAACACGATTCAACTGTCATCATCTAGACTCGCTCTGGAACAAATCCGGGACGATCGGCAGTCAAACCGAAATAGCCGCTGGTTTCCGCAACCGCACTGAACTTCAGGTTGGTCTTAAGAAAACCGAGCAAGTGGAGTATAGGCCAACAAACTCGACCAATCGAAAGCACTGGCAAAAATCTGGCCGTACCCAAACAAAGGCAGTAACGGACGCAGATTTCTGTCCTGGAGGAGGGGGGCACGACCGCGGGCACCACTGCTGATACCACTCGGGGGTCGACCACGGCTGCACAAAGGCACTCTGCACCAATGCCGTGACACCGCGCCTCGCCGCCCTTTTGAATTTCCCCTTGAAGACGTAGCCACCCGAATGCAAGGATGCGCGGGAAGGGTGCCAGGGCCTTGGGCCTTGGGCGGCCACGTCGACACTTTGCGAGCGGGGCGCGGCCCGCGAAAGCAGCCCAGGAAGGGCCGATGGTGCAGGATGCAAGGATGACCTTGGAGAACTGCTCCTCCTTACTGTGCGGGTTGACGGTATTGCGTGCGCCGAAATGGATCGCCACTCGCGACCCGATGGCCAAACAACCTGCCCAACGTAAGCTACCACACGCGCCGACGCACAGCAGCTCACCCTGCGCGCCGCCGCGCACGCGGCCCGCCTGGCGCGTGCCTCCAGCAAGTGGCACTGCCCGGCGCACCGAGCGCAGGAAGGCGCAACGTGCGGCGCTCGAGGCTCCGACAGAGAGTGGACGGCCCACGTTTTGCAGATTGCGGCCACTTCGGGGCCCTCAACGAGCATTGGGACCGCCAGGTACTCCAGATTTCGTAATAAAGAGAGGGGGGTCTCATTTGGGGGGGGGTCTCTTCCAGGCTATCTTGGAGGGCCTGGGGGGGTCTGGGGACGATGTTTTGGAGGGTTCTCCCACGGGGGAGGTCTGAAATGGCTTGTCTTGGAGGGTCCAAACCCCCTCCCTCTTATTACGACATCTGGAGTAACGACTCGGGATGAGAAGCAGGCCGCGGAAGGACTGCTGTCCACTCCTCCGGGGGCCCCGTGGCTCGATCTTGGGACAGCCTCTCTCGAGCCACGGGGTCGACCATGGCAGAGGCCCGCGGAGCGTCCATATCGGTGCCTTTGTCCGCGACCTCCACACACAACGCGGCGCGATCCGCGAGCGCAGCGGGCGGGTGAGAGGCCTGCGCGGCGGGGCAGGAGGGGCGAAGCGGTCAGGGGCAACGTCAGGGCGGGATGGGCTCGGGGGGAGGAGGGGGCGCCGATCAGCAAAACAATGAATAAAAAACGACCGCTAAGGCTGGAATTTCCGCCCTACGTTTCAAGTTCCTCCGATGTCGATGTCCGCCCTACCTTGTCGTCGCTCCTTCTGGAAAGTGTGCTTGCGAGAAGATTCGCCCCTACTTTCGTAAGGCGGCGGAAATATTCGACCGCCAATCGCTCAGTCCTCGCCGATGGGGGGGGGGGAGGGGGGGGAGGACGTCAGGGCGGGACGGGCTCAGGGGGCAACGTCAGGGCGGGACGGGCTCAGGGGGGGGAGGGGGGGGGAGGTATCGACCGCCACTCGCTCAGTCCTCGCCGATGGGGGGGGGCCGGAGGCCTGCGCCGCCCAAGGCCGCGCGCTTCTGCCGGCGGGGGGGCCCGTCGCCGATCCGTCGGTGCTGCATCGCCGATGCCAGGTCGATGTTCCCCCCCCCACCCCCCCGAGCCCCCCCTCCCCCTGGGCGCGGGCTTGAGGCCGGCGCAGAGGCCATCAGCAGTGGCTTGTGATTTCGGCATAGGGATTTTAGGTGAAACGCGACCGAGATTAATTAATCTCGGTCACGTTTCGCCCGAGACTTCTGGGCAAAAAAAAAAACTCCCCCTCACGTCCTAACGTTGCACCTCCTGAGCATTTTCGTAGGGTGAAAGGCTCAGGGTGAAATGCATCTGGGCTTTTTTGCACCTCGAAAAACTCAATCCGTCCTGTCAGTCATTTTTTTTGCAGATTCGAGCCTCGAACATCCGTCGAAAGGGCACTTCAGATTTCACCCTTTGCCCTCCACCCGAAGAAACTGCTCGGACCTCAGAGAGAACGGGAGGCGCAGCAGGGGGAGAGGCCGCGGGAGGGGGGCGGAGGGCAGACGTCCGTCGCTCCACGTTGTCGATGCGCGCCACGAGCGGGGAACGTATCCGCATCCGCGGCTTCGCAATCCGGATTCGGGGGCGCGATCCCGCGCAGACGCGGTCGCACGGATACGTTCCGCGCGGGGCATCGGCGAACAGAACGCTCGGTATCTGCGGGATCGCGGCCCAAAGGCCCAGCCAGCGATTCGTCTGATACAGGTATGTCCGTCGTCCACGAGCGCGGACCCCCAAAAATCGGGGCAACTTCCCTAAGTAGGGCTATCTTGTATCCTGAGCCGTTTTTTGACGATCCCGGGGCCCGTCGGGGCCCCCCAAAGATCGAGAATATGATACAGTGGAGGCTAGTCCACAAGAAACCTGTCACAAGAAAGCCAACCCTGAAACCCCAGGACGTCCATTGCTTTCTGGTGTGGGAAAATCGCGCTGTCCATCGCAAAAACCAGCGAAACCCAAGAAACCCAGGGCACCCTGGAGGTAAGCAGGGTGTTTCTTGGCATGGGTCTCCACTGTAAAACCAGCCGCTCCAATTTTTGTCGGAGCCTCGCTTCTCTGGCGAGGGTCCTGCTGGTCCGGACGCATCCCCGAGAGAGGCCAGCGTGCGGACAAGATTCATGTCCATATCCAGTGCCTTTTGGACTTTTTGGGAAGCGGCGCCACAAGGCCGAGGCGCACTGGATATGGATCAAAAAAACGAGCTTCTAGGGGGCCAGTTTATCCACATCCAGTGCGCCTCGGGTTTCTTGGGAAGGGAGCCCGAAACTCCATACTGGACTGGATATAGACAGAAGTATTGCCCGCACAATTCAGGGGGACGTAAGACCCGGGTACAGGGGACTCGGAAATCCCCGACGAGGTCGTCAAAAAAATGACGAGGCCGAGCCTGCATTTTGACGAGGCCTCCCGCTGCAGACATCCCACGAAACCCCTCCTCGTCAAAATCCGAGGCGCGGTCGTCAAAAAACGATGGCGAACCCGAGTCCTGGCAAACCCGGGTCTTACGCTCCCCCGAACAGTGGAGCAGCGGTACCTTTCGGCCCCGCCCGCGGTCCAGCAGTTCGCGTCGCCGCCCAGGCCCGCCGCGGGAGAGCAGCAGGACGCGCGCTCGGGCGGGGTTCGCCCGAGAGGGGGGCCATAAAGGTCGGGGCGTTGACCTAAGGAACCCTAAATAAGGAACGAGGCCCCTTTTTTCCATAAGTTAAACTTCGATTTCCCATGGGAAACCTCAGGAAGACAGAAGGCAAACTGTAGAACAATCAAGGAACACCGAGCCCCTCCCAAACGAAAAGGGTTCCTTCTGCAGGGCCCCGACTGTAGGAAGATCGGCGGTTCAAAGATGGGGTCCTGATGGATGGGGTCCGAAAAACGGGGCGCCGCACACAGCGTAGATTCAACCTTGGACCTTGCCCATCCTCAGGGCCCCATCCCTCAGGACCCCTCGTCTGTGAGCCACCGAGAAGGTGTCGGGCGTTGCTGAAGGTGCCCGGGGCCCAGGGTGCCCCCAGCTTTTCGCTCCATTCTGGAGCCCCTGGGGCCCTCTGGGCCTCGTGAGCGGTGCTCTGGAGACCGTGGGGGCCTCGCTGGCAATCCCTGGGGGCACCCTGGGCCAGGGGCACCTCCAGCAACAGCCGAAAACGGGGGGGGGGGCGTGGGCAACGTGGGCGGGCTGGCATGGACGAGGGGCTGCGTGGCGCGCGGATCTCCCAGTGCGCCTGGCCTGGCGGCCCAGGCCACCAGCGTGACGGGTTGGCTGCCGGTGTTTCCCCCTCCTAGGCTTGGGTCGGGCACGTCCCCCCACAGGCGGACTTTGGGTGGAAGATCATAAGCACTCAAAACATGTTCAGCAATAGCAGAAGATACTCGGAACAAATCTCCAGACGATGTTTAAAAACTAATGTTGAACATTCATCCTGTAGAGAGACCGGCCCGACTTGAATCATATGCCGCGGGGCTCGTGGCGCACCTCCACCGGCAACGGAGCTGCGCAGCCCAGCCCGAGGCGCGTGGGCGGACGGGGGGCACAGGGAGGGTGCTGAAAAATACGAAGCTTGCGGCATCGGCAAAAGACCATGGCCCTGGTGTCAATCGAAATCCTTTTTCGGGTTCGCTCAACGTTGGCGGGGGTCAGATCTGGACATATGCCTTGTGCGCCGACGGCGTCAATCAGCTACTGGTGGCGCTTGGAACCACAACGCCCATACAGTATGGATGGGCCGCAGCAGTTATTCACAGGCGCGCATCAATCTGTCTAGAAACATAAAGCCAAACTTGACTTGCGACGCAAATCCATGTTGGCTTGCGACGCAAGTCCATGCTTGACTTGCGACTTGGAGCTTCACATCAAAACTACATATAAACACTGATCGCGCATAGTACAAAACGAGAGCACTGTACACCCCAAGATTCCCTGAGCAGCTCGGCGCAAGGAAAAAGAGGATGGGAGATATCCCCGTGATCAAACACGTAAAACACGACGCGTCACGCCAATGTCTGAAACAATGAATGAAACTACGCGCATCAAAAAGCCGTGGCCCCAGCGGAGATTGGCGAGGAAGGGAAGCAAGAAAGGCAAAACGTCATACTTCTAGATCTGAGAAAGCCCTCGCCGAAACGGTCACCCCTCGGAGAAGACATCTCGATACCCCCATTGACGAAAGAAAACCAAGAAAGCAAAAATAATAACTGGGCGAAGGAAACAACAGCGCGTCGGTCGGGGGGGCGGCGCAGGAAGAGAGTGAGAAAGAGAGAGAGAGAGAGAGACAGAGACAGAGATAGAGAAAGAGAGAAAGAGAGAAAGAGAGAGCGAGAGAGAGGAAAGAGAGAGAGAGAGATAGACGCAGAACGTCTGCAAATCCTCCTCTATCCGTTGGGTTCCTTCTGAAACTCTGAGGCGCCACCGCGACCCCGGCCGCCGCGCGCCCGCGGGCGGCGGCGCATCGCATCTCATTTCCAGCAGCCCCTGCGCTGCCGCCGTGGCGGCCCGCGCCCTGAGCTGCCCTGGCGACGGCCAGCGGGGCGAGCGACGCGCCGAGGGCGAGGTCGGCATCTCCCGCGTGGCACCGACGCCTGCGACGACGTCGATCGGAGGCCAAGCATCTGCTCCAGCTCGACGCAGCTCAGGCGACGCTACGGGGGCATCACGGTTCGCTGGCCCCGCGGATGGCACTCCGTCGCCCTCAGGATGCAGGTGGAAGATTGACCCTCGCTGGCCTTGCGCTGCTAGCAGGCAACGCGGCTACCTGGAGAACTTCGCGCGCAAGGATCGGCGCCGCCGCTACGACCGCGACCGCGCTGGCAAAGTCGACCCAGCAGGACCTCCGCCCGATCGTCGCTCGGCGCGGCCCCCGGCGCCGCCGCCTCGCAGGCCAAGTCGGCCACGGCGAGCGCGTGACAGCGGCACAGGTGGCGATGAGCCCGCCGAAGAGCCCGTCGCCGCGTCCGACGCAGCGGCCCGAGCTCGGAAGGCCCCGGGCGCGCTCCGCCGCCCGGGCCTCGACGACTCGAGTTCCCTCGCGACGGGCGGCCCGCAGGGGGCCCCAATGGGCGGAGGAGGCAGAGAGGGCTGCGACGCCCGACGACCTCCCCCGCAGGTCTCTGGGCCGCCAAGCCCAGAAGCCTCGCGAGGTGGCAGCGCTTCGCCGGCAGCATGGCGTGCTGGAGAAGGCGTGCGCCCAGGAGCAGGCTGACCTCCAGTCAGCCGAGGCCGAGCTGGCCGCGGCGGGCACCGAGGCAAGCTGCGCGCGCGGCGGCCCCCGCCACAAGTGCACGGCCAAGGCAGGACGCCACGCAGATCAAGCTGGACATCGATGATGCCATGGCGCGCCCGGGCCAGATCGCCAACTCCGCCCCAGCGGTCGCGCCCGGCAACGGTGACATGTACGTTCAATCCCTCAGCAAGCAGTACAAGGAGGAGCTGCATGACACCATCGCACGGCAGTGGGCCCATGGTCGAGGTGGCCAACCTACCTCATCCAGCGCGCCTGCCGCGTCAGCCACGCCGGCCTGGGGCGCAGCCATCCCCTCCGAGGACCGTGATGAGCTGGATGCGACAGGCAAGCGTTAACTATTTATCCATTTGGACCATTACTGCAATTACGCCGCGACAAGCAGCTGACGGTAGCATTCACAAATGACGTCAGACTCCTGGGGCTTCCTCGGGCAAGTTTCACAAGAGTCTGACCAGTCCTACCGGGCGCACTGCAATTTTGGCCAATGGATTGGTTGGGGGATCGATCTTCGCGCTGGCAGTCGCCAAGCTGAACAGACCACGGTTTTGGCGATGGGGTCGGCTACTCCGACCACGTCTGGCGCTCGTGGGATGCCCGCGCAATTTGATTATCCGAGCTCGCAGGCTTCGGCAATTTCGCGAGGTCAATCGGGTGTGGGGCGAGTGGTGTATACCAGTATGCTGCCCTCTCAGCCCCAATCGTACCAGGGCAAGGTAGTCCTGCCATGGGTCAGGCGGCAAGGCACATGCGAGCACCGCGACGCAAGCAAGGTCTGGCATTGCTGAATTCAAAAATACGGGCTGGCCACCGACGAAGGACTTCCTGACTCAATGCGCTCGGTTCGTAGTTGCTGGTCAAAGATTGCACCTACATGGGTCGTCTCGACTTCTTGCTGAAGGATGGTGTCGCAAACATGGCTGGCAAGCGTCCCTGTCCGATGCAGCGCTCTCCGACGCCAACGAGACAACGGTGGAGGTGGACTCCAAGTGCGTGGTCACAGTGTGGTACCACTACGGGATTTCACGACATATCACACCACAATTGCAGAGCACGCGGTCTGCATGCAGGTGCAAGCTGGTCTTCGTGGCGGCTTGATAGCCGGCTCAGTCCACGTGCATCAAGGCCAGCGCCTTGGCGGTGCGAACACCGTGCTCTTCCGCAGAAGTGGGCGAATGTGTTCGGTGCTACGGGCCGCCGTTTGCGGTGGAAGGTGGCTGGGATGCTGCGCCAGAAGTACATCGCGGATCAAAACTGACCCAACGACTACGAGATGGCGTGGTTTTCTCTTCCACTGATGCCAGTCGCGACCCTGCCTCTGGCAGCGCGAGTAACTTGTGATATTTTGGCGACGCAAATGGTGAAACCTCTTATTTTTGTTGGCCCACACGTACTTCCTCCCCAGCCTACTCCGTCAACTGGGGGGGCAGGAAGATCGAGGCGGCGAGCCCTACTATCCTCAGAGAGGCGCTCCTGATCGTGACTGGACGCAACTCATGAGCATCGACGCTGGTGAAGGTTACGGTGACCGCTCCACGCATTTGAAGCGCATTGACACCTTGAGTGCTGCTCTTTACCCGGGGGTGGAGCAGGAGCTCGGGGGTCTATTTGCGTTTGACAAGCCCGAGGCCAAGTTTATAAGCCGTCACGATGGGCCGCAGCATCGGCATTCCACCGCGGGGGTTGCCCTTGCACGGCAGCAATCTGCAGGCGCCCAGCAACCACGCGCACTTCGCACACTGCGAGTACATGTGCACGATCTTGGCCTCACGTGTGCGTGGGACGACGGCCGATCATATGAGCATGCGTGGACGCGCTTTGTGCATGCCATGGGAGTAACGGGTCAAGAACGGCGCCTTCGTGTTAGCACATCTTCTCCCCTCGCCGACGTCACATTGCACGTGGCCGTATGTATCGTCGCACAACCGCCACGCATGCACCCGCAGATGCTGCAACTCTTGGGCACGTTTCTCGGGCGGCAGGCCGCAGTTGATGAGCGTCGGCTAGCGCTTCAGCGAGGCAAACCCTTTCGCGCCTGGGTCTGCCCATCATTGATGCGAACGCCAGGCGCAGTGCACCGCTGGACCGAGGCCATGGGTTGGCAGCTCTCCGCTGTAGGCACCCCCACGGGCCCCTCGAGCTTCCCTTAAAACATTGCGGGCACGCAACGAGGCTTCTGGCAATCCATCTGGGACGGCCTCGACGAAGCCCCGAGGGGCGGCGACCTTCGCACCTCCCAGGACTCCGAGGACACTCTATTGGATGACCTCCAGGACATCATCGAGCGAGGGCCCCGATGCCCCTTCTTACGGATATCGGAGCTACGCAAGGCTGCCTTGAGGTTCCTGTTGAGCACCGCGTCTGGGGCAAATCGGTTCA